AAAAAAAAAAAAGAACTTAATTTGCCTGTGTGTGTATGTGTGTGTACAAGATACTTTAGATAATTTATACTTGTTCTTGGGAAATAATAGTAGGAATGAGGTTAGACAAGAGCATCATTTTGAAAGAAGTAGTAATAAAATCTGGAGATCAATTAGGCCTGGTGATATTGATTTACATGTAGGGAAATTTGGCTTTTCTACGTAAAGAATCATCTGAGCTTCACCACGGGTCGGTGAAGATACCATGCCACAAAATGGGGAGAGTGGAAGTACAGCTCTGCCACATATTAGCTAAGTAAATTTATTCAGTCTCTTGGAGTCCCTCTTCTTCATTTGTAAAATAAAGTGGGGTGCCTGCAAATTGCAAATGAGTTGCAAAGAACAGAGAAAATAAGTGTAAAGAACCTCCTACATGTGCCTGGTACCTAGTATGTACCCCTGAAAGTATGAGATAAAGAATGACTGCAATTAACACATAAAAATAGAAAAAGAAAAGCTTTCAAGATCAAGATGATACCAAAGATTCTGTATGTTTCTAGGATGTGAGGAAATGAGAACTCAGTTCATAGGGGAGACGAATCTACTTGTAAATCTCAGAATGACAATAGGAAGAGGGTTGGGTGAAGCAGCATAGCAGTTGGCAGTGTTTTTAAAAAGGGGGCAGCTCCTTTGCCAGAGAAGATTCAGTAGTATAATCATTTCTTGTTTTTACCTCCCTTGACTCATCCACAGGAGTGGGAGTTCAGACAAAAGGAAGCTTCTGTGGCAATCTATTTAAGATTCTCCTCATATAAGATTTGGTTCGCAGCCCATTTTCTGTCAGGCTTCCTGAGATGGGAAAGCAATGCATGCAAATTCTCAGGCTTGACAGTGAATTCTCCAAAGCTCCAGACTGAAATTTACAGCTGCCTGTAGACATCTCCATCTGCATGTCCTGCAGGCATCTCTAACTCTGTGTCTCAGACCAAATTAATTACCCTCTCATACTCGTTCCCCTCCAGTCTTCCATCTAGGTTAATGCTATGCCAATTTGCCAGGCGCAAAATCCAGAAATTTCAGTTCTTTTACTTCTTGTCCCACACTCCCTGAGGTCTATCTACTGCCAATTTTTGTGGATTCACCCTGGTGTGATCTGTTTTATGCACTCTTGATTTTTGACGTCCATTGTTCTGGTGAGGATCCTTATCCCTCTCCAGGACCACAGCAACAGCAAACTATCCAGTCTCCCGCCAGGACCTGCAGTGTGTACAACTCTCGAGCGCTCCACTTACCTAGACTGTGGTCAATGGTGACCCACCCACTCAGGAGTTGCATAATGAGTGTAACTGTCTCCTGGTCCCCTCTTTCTTACTTGGCTAATCCAGTTAAATTAATGAAATATTCATCATTTCTCTTTCTGAAATCACTTCGGTGACTTTACTTTTAGCCTACAGAACAAAGCACCTAAACTCAAATTTCATTCATTTGCTCTCCCATGGCATCTCTTCAAGCATTCTATGATCTAACCACATTGAACCATAAGTCATAACTCCAAAATGATGTATACTTTTTAACCTCAAACTCATGGCTCATGGAACGTTTTCCACGAGCTAGCTAGACTCCACTGCTCCTTCTGATCCAGCTTGAAGGCGATCGCCTTGGCATAGCGGCCTTAATTCCACTCTACTCCATCTCTTATTCTTAAGAAGGGCCCTACTTGCTGTATATTCCCTTATTTATTTTTCCTGTGGTTAGCATGAGTGTCTCTAACCCAGATTCTACAGTGTTTAAGGACAGACATCATCTCTTGTTGCCATCTCTGAGTCTCCAGGGCACTTTGAATGGACTGTTAACCAGTCTAAAAATAATCTTCTTAAATTTCCACTTTTAAAAAATGGTGATTTTTTTAACCAAAGAAAGCTTTTAAAAATTCCCAAAGAAACAGTTAACAGTTTTGTTTGCAATGTACCCAAACAGTGAACTCCCTCAGCTCTACTGCATTAAATACACTTTTTTAACTCCCTTGCAGTTTTATTATTCCAGGTGCACTGCTACCATAAGAGGCTTTGTGGGCTATTGCTATAAATGTCATTCATTCCCATTAAGCAAGTGTATTTTATACAAAATGATTGTCTAAATTTATGTTGACCATTCTAGAGGGTAGTAAATCAGGTAATACATCAAAATATCTGAGGTCTAAAAATGTAGAAAGCAACTTTTGTAATTTGAGGACTTTTCATTTTACTGAGTCCAACATATTATATGCTTGCTCTTTCTGTGACTGTAAGACATATTAAAAAAAGAAGCCGCTAAATTTGACCATTATACAAATAATTCAAACAAAACTCATAGATAATCTATCTCAGTTACGTGGGTATTTTAGGTGAAATTACAGGGATTTGGGGCATTGAGGAAGTTATTAGAAGGGATGCTTTTGGCTCTGATTGAACAAGTACTGTACTCAGCTTTCATTAAAATCTATGGAAGATTTTAAATACGGCAGTCAATTTCAAGTATTGTATTCCTTGACTCATTTGAAGAGAATTTGAAATTAACTAAGAGACTCATATTCTTTTAAAAATTAATAATAGTTATAAAACTGTGATTATGCAAACATTGAAAAGATAAATTAACACAAATGGGCATATTTTTATATTATCTCAAACAAGTATATTATTTAACATTTAGCTAAAAAGCAAAAGTGAAAAATAAATGGGCATCTTTTTGACTCTTCTCAGTGAAAATACATACTCTTATAGGTCTGTTCTATAGTTTGGAAATCAATATTAATACTTTATGCAATCATTCTTTCTCATGTTTTTCTCCCTTTGATAATCTTCTCAAGTGGCTTAAGTGCTTGTAATGTATTAAAAAATAGGCACAGACAAGTCATTACTCTCTAGAAAATATTTATTGACACATTTTATTTTTCTTTCCATATTCTGAGAAATAAACAAAATACACAAAATACAGTAAAATGCACTTTTCCCATTTCAAATAAATATACTATACTCTTGTAAAAAAATTTAATAATCTGTGTAATTTGCCACAGTATATTAATCAATGAAATAAAACAAAGAATCTCTAAATTGTCACGTGTTTTAATCATTCTCACAAGCATTTTTCTGGAGAAAAAGAACATTATTTTCTGTAGAATTATATTGACTTGGAGACTATTGCTTCTTGTTTGGAGAAGGCAAAGATAAGTTTTTTAAAAAGTGTTTAGTGTCAAAAGAGTCTTCATTTGGGAGAAAAACAGCATACAAGTCCTTTCTGAATCAACTAAATTATGTGCAAATTTTCTTCTTAATACTTCCTAAAGACCAGACTACATTCTGAATAATGATTCCTATGTGTCACACTGGTAATTTTCAAAATTAGTGGTTAAGTATTTAAATTAACAGTTATATGTGTAATATAAGCCCAGGACAGAATATTAAAGCTCTATTAACAGGAAAGGCTAAAAATAATGATGCTATACAGGACAAATTTTCCTTTTCATAATGGTTATTCTTAACATTATCAGAACTGAAATCTACTGAATTATACAGATTTAACACAGACTTATATACAAATAGATCCCTGATCAGTTTAAGACAATGTGTTAGCTTGCTCTTTTAAGTGGTAAGAATATTTTAGTAACCAGCAAAGATCACATTTAGGTAGTCACCAATATTGAAAGTTTTCTGATGTATAATTTATTTAGTATCAAAAGAATAGATCGCTGAGTAATAAAAGTTATTAGTATCTTCTAACTTCCTATGTTAGCATTTAATTAGTACTTTCTATACTAGTTGGCAGAAGTAAATCAACCTTTACTGTAGCTCCAGTTCCACCGTATGTGACTCGTTTGTATGGATGCAGAAATGCTAATCAAACCACGCTGCCTCAAAACATAACTGTGTTCAGTCATACACAGGCTACACAGTGGGTATGACATTTGTCTTCAGCATTTTTTTTTTTTTTTTTTTTGAGACAGAGTCTCGCTCTGTCGCCCGGGCTGGAGTGCAGTGGCCAGATCTCAGCTCACTGCAAGTTCCGCCTCCCGGGTTCACGCCATTCTCCTGCCTCAGCCTCCCGAGTAGCTGGGACTACAGGCGCCCGCCACCTTGCCCGGCTAGTTTTTTTTTGTATTTTTTAGTAGAGACGGGGTTTCACCGTGTTAGCCAGGATGGTCTCGATCTCCTGACCTTGTGATCCGCCCGTCTCGGCCTCCCAAAGTGCTGGGATTACAGGCTTGAGCCACCGCGCCCGGCCTGTCTTCAGCATTTTAAGGGCATCAGTTATTGTCCAGGTGGTGACTTATGACATGAAACTTTTCCCTCCTCATTTTAAAGCATAGAATAGTATATGCTTAGGTATTATTTTATGACAACATTTTTATTCTACCTGTTTCTGAAACACGTAGTATGTACTCAAAAATTCACAAGTCTAATAAAACAAGTTTGTGTTTTTCTTCTGTGACATTTCTTTTTATAACTCCTCCATCTCAAAGTGTGTGTTAAAGCTGTTTGCCATGGATGTGTGTTCAAAGATTCTTGACAGGCTTGGTTTCAACAGTTCTACTGAGGGACATGACAGGTGCTGAGAGTTCTCATTCTTCAAGGACATCATTTGGTCTGTCACAGGCTCCCTTCTATCATAATACAGAGCCCAGAGCAGAGTAATGGTGAGAATCATGGCCAGAATTTGTGTCACTCCAATGGAGATTCCCAGAAATCTCAGCACCTGCAGTTGTTTGGTTCCTCTCAAAAAGGAATACATTTTCTTCCCACAACCCTGTAAAAGAAATACACAGTCAACATTACTTTAGATATGTTACAGAAGGCCAAAAATAGTTAATGAAAGCAAACAATCTGTATCAGTTAATGAAATCATTTGGATCATAAAGTTTAAGACAGTGGTTCTCAACAGGGAAAGCTGATGAGAAGAAGGAGAAAGGGAAGTGTGTGGCTTTTGAAAAGCTTGTCCAGCTGATTCCAATGAGCCAACCCCTTCTTTTGTCTTTCTCAAAACCTGAAGTTGAGACCCACTGGTATAAAACCCAACATCTAAAACAGGGGTTGACTGACTTGTTTTCTTTTTTGAGATGGCCAGATAGTAAATATTTTGGGTTTTGTGGGCCATATGGTCTCTATGGCAACTACTCATCCCTGCCACTGTCACAAGAAAGCAGCCATAGACGGTAAGTGAATGAATTAATGTAGCTGGGTTCCAGTGAAACTTCAAACACACAAAAAGGCATTAGGCCAGATCTGGCACACAATGTTCATGATTTAATAATACTTAACACCGATTTGGTAAAGTTGCTTCTCTGGCCACCTTAACCTATTTGATACAAACACAAGAAATTTGCACAAACACAGACATACACATACATTCTGTGGGAAACTAACATAGACATCACAAAGACAACTCACCAAAATTTAAGTATTTTTCAAACAGTTCCACTCAAATACTCTATGAGAGCTCATTCACTCTTAGGTTTATGTGTCATTTTAATAAGCATTTTTAAATGACACAGTGATACAGCAGATAGAAAGTATTTAGGCAGATAGTGAGGGTAAAAGAGTCCTTGGCGGAATTTTCCTTTTAACAAAAAGTAGCTCCAAAATCATTAAAAGAACTGCCTGAAAAATCGAGCTGTAGACATAGACAAGCAAGCGGGAAGCTTGCACAGGTGAATGCCAGCAGCTGTGCCAATAGAAAAAGGCTACCTGGGGGCCAGGTATGTTCAACATGGAGGCTCCATCTTCCCTTGTCTTTGTGTATACAGTAAAGAAACAGGTAACATGGTGCCAGCCAAGTACAGAACCCATCAGAATAATAAAAGATTAGGGTGGGGGTGGCCAGATTTTCATGTACCATGCAAATGGTACACCTGGTCCGACCAATCTTTCGTGCCCTGGTAAATCAGACTCTGCCTCCTCAAGATTATCTATAAAACCCGCTGCATTTTGCTGTGGACCAGAAAACCCACTCAGGAACCCTCTCTGCAGGAGAGAGCTCTTCTCTTTTTGCGTCTATTAAACCTCCACTCTTAACCTCACTCCCTGTGTGTTCACATCCTTGATTTCCTTGGCCTGAGACAACTAACCTTGGGTATTACCCAGGATGGACGATGCCACTTCAACAGTATAGTATAATGGTTAAGACCATGAACTGCTACATGATTTGGGGCAAGTCACTTAATCTCTCAGTGCTTCAGTTTTCTTGTCTAAAAACATAGATGATAATAGCGCTTACCTGTCTGAGATGTTGGGAGGATTAAATGCACAGACACATTTTAACACTTAGGATAGTGCCTCATAAATGTTAAGAACCCAACAGGTACAATCTCTTGTCTCATATGTCAGTTCACAGATTATAAAGTAGAAAGATCAAATTAAAAATAGATGGAAAATCTATGATTAGCAGATATTAATGGAAGAATACGAGGCACAACACTTCATGAAAGAGTATGCAAATACCAGCAGCACAGCATTATGTCACCAGTGAGTACTTCTGCTCAGCTCTACCCTACAAGAGCAAGGTGGCTGCCACTGTTTTACAGGACAATGAGATAACTGTCCAAAATGATTACTTGCTACTGAGACATTAGATCATTAGCTTCCTGATGAAGCAGAGAAATGTTTTACATAGTTTGAGAAGAGTCACCTCAAAATTTGTTAAGTTAAAAAGGTTTGGCTTCAGACATCTGGAAAATAATTTGCATAGCAACTTCATTTAACATCATTACCAAATAATGTGGCACTATTTTCTCACATCTATCTTTGAAGAAATTGATATAAAACAGCCTTGGATCATGTTTAGCTGATTCCTTACCTATGTTCTCAGTACTTGGTACAAAAATGGACCTTTAGTGAATAAAGAATTAGCATGAATATATTAATATTTTAGTAATAATAATTAAACAGATTTCAGAATTAGAGGTAAACTGGCTGGGCGTGGTGGCTGACACCTGTAATCCCAGCACTTTGGGAGGCCAAGGCGGGCAGATCACTTGAGGTCTGGAGTTCAAGACTAGTCTCGCCATCAGGTGAAACCCTGTCTCTACTAAAAATACAAAAATTAGCTGGGCATGGTGGTGCATGCCTGTAATCCCAGCTACTCTGGAGGCTGAGACATGAGAATTGCTTGAACCCAGGAGGCAGAGGTTGCAGTGAGCTGAGATGGCCCCACTGGACTCCAGCCTGGGCAACACAGTGAGCCCCTGTCTCAAAACAAAACAAAGCAAAACAAAAAAAAGCAAACAAAAGAATTAGAGGTAAACCAAAGATACAAAATTCCAGTTAGGAGGAATAAGTTCAAGAGGTCTACAATACAACGTGGTGACTATAATTAATAACAATGTATTAGTTACTCAAAAAAGTAAACCATTCAATAAATATATATGCTGATGATTCAATTCTGTGAAATGCTGTCAGTAAATTACTTGATGTTTACCCTTTCAATAGTGTCTGGGGCTTACATTGTATCTCTATTGTCTTAAGATCTCCTACCCTTTTAGACTAATTCATTTTAAGTTAAGAAACTGTGCCAGAAAAGTAATATTTCCTTTTCAAATCTGGGAATAAAACAAGGCAGAGTTGATAATTAAGTAAAATTTATTATGTTTCATATCTTGGCACTGTTCAAAGTCTATTTCAGTGTATCTTAAACAATCATATTTATTTTTAAAATGGTACAGTAAATTCTATCACCTAGGATGATTGGGGAATGAGACCTATTAATAGGGAACACTCTAGAATGGGAGAGGTCCTTGGAAGTAATGAATTCAACTTTTTATCTTTTAAAAATATGGCAAAAAAGCACTTGTACAGTGACATAGCAAAACTGGCATGGAAAGGACCTCCAAAGAATCTCTACTCATGTAAGCAATGAAAACACTGGCAAAAAACTGTTAGCCTCAATTTTTCTAGAATTCTGGAAATTAACCAAAGTCTTGCAGCAATCTGAGGAGCGTTTATTCACGAAAAGCCGCCGAATCTCATTAGGAACAGCAAGCGCTATGGAATTTTCATTTGCCCTATTCCCATCCCTGCTCCCCTTGGTAGCCTGGAAAGCCAAGAGCCTGCAATCCTGGTGAGAACTGGCAGCCTAGCCGCCACCAGAGGGCGCAGAATGGGGTTGCAGCTCCTTCAAGGCCCCATTCCCAGACGATTGTTATTGTATGGCTGATCTGGCGGTTCCCTGGAAGACCCCACTCAGAAGGATGTCTTCATTTGACCTGAACTTGAAGCTCGACTAGGGAAAGCCTCTGGTCCCTCCCCCCTCCTCCAGGAGGTTTCCGATGACAGTTAGAGGTAACTATTGATCTCTGAGGCTGCCTGAGGCAGTTGGTAACAGTTGTGCACAAGGGGGCTTGACAAAGCTCTGGCATATTCGTGGGAATCTCGGAAATTACACACATGAATAGGGCTGTGCTTAGATTCAGGGGCTGTGCATAGGCCCAGGAAAGATCTGCAAAGATCCTAAGATCTCTCCTCTGGCTGACCTTGAAGCTCTGTGCACCCTTGGTAAAGGCCAGGAGACTCGCTGGTTCTAGGCATCTAAGGCATCTAAGGAAATCTCTGTCCGTTCATTAACTGACCACTAAGCTAACTGAGCAGAAACTTCAATGACCACATGTGACAAAGAATACAGCCTTTAGAGAATTCGTTTAGAAAATGCTATCGAACCAACAAATAAACAACAGCAAACGTTGGAGAGCTGGAAAAATCTGATTTTCTGAGTTGTCACATTATATTATTTAAAACATCCTGTTCTCTTAAAAAAAAAAAAAAAACAGTTATAAGACATGCAAACAAACAAGAAAGTATGACTCACAGGGGAATAAAAAAACAATGAATGAAACTGCAGTTCTAATGAGAGGGACTCCCCGCCTCACTAGACAGTCCTGTCCACACTGGAACAACACTAATTTTTAACAAGCACTTCCTTGTTGGAACCTGACTTCTTCGTAAGGAAGGATGCACTGGTTCTAACTCTGCTCTCAACCCTTCCCTTTTCTATAAGGTAGAGAGTCACAGCTGAAGAATTTATTATCTCTTTCCCTTTAACTATTCTCCTCTCCAGGCTAAATAGTCCTAGTCTTCAAGTTTTCCAAAATATGTACACTTCATCTTTCTGTCGATCCTTTTCTAGACTGTGTTGATTCTGTCAATGTTTCTTTGAAATGACATTGATTTGTAACTTTAAAAAAATATAAAATGCAATGAAATATTAAGACAATCAAGGTTATTGAAAATGACTTTGGATTCCAACGACAAAAAAAGCTTTTTCAGTTGCCCAGAAATGTAGACATGCAATTGTATTGACATTTCACATGGTTGGGACTTGGTGTCCTTCCAGATCACTGGTCCCTGAAGATTATCTTCACACTCAGGTAGGCAAGTATGCTTTATTCCAAGCAAAGGTCCTAGTTAGACTCCTCCATTTTTATGGCAAAATATCAGGTGATCATTTCCTCATTTTGTTTAAAAAGCATACAGATAACTCCTCAAACAAGGCAGAATTTCAGTCCTTAAACTTGTCATCAGAATTCATTAAACTATATTTTATGCTTCTCTATCAAGAGTCTCTCCGAAAGAGGTGTCAACTACAGATTATCTAAAAGAAATGAAATCAGTTGACATTATAGTACTTTATGTCCATCCGTCAAACCAGGTCACCAAAATGTGCCAACTTGCAATATATTAACTTATGCCTTTGCATATTATTTTCTACCAAGGTATATTTTAAGGATATATATTGGAAAACACCATAAGAAACTGCTC